ATAATCTTCATATCTACTTTGAGTTCTATATCTTCATGAACCTTTTTAGGACTTTGCATAGCTGACTCTGATGTCTTAATTTTACTTGACCCAGCATTTTTTGTCTTGCTTTTATCTAATGCTTACTCTGTTTGCTGCATTACAGACATTGAAGTTCCCATTAGCGAAAGTTGAAGGGTGTAGGCAGTTGAAGTGCAAGGGACCAAGGATGGAGCTAACTCTGGTTCAACCTGATGATTGGCATCTTCATCTGCGCGATGGTGAACTTCTTCTAGCTATTGTCCCTCACAGGTGATTTTACTTGAAGGATGGTGCTCTTTTATTTTTAATGACTGCTGTGTGCTTTCTATAAATCTAAGAATTGGTGATAAAACTGCACTGCAAATCACTTTGGGAGGGCAATTGTGATTCCAAACTTGAAACCTCCAGTTACTACCACTGCTGCTGCTGTGACTCATCGGGAATCCATTTTGAAAGCATTGCCTACTGGTAGCAATTTCAATCCTCTAATGACACTGTATTTAACAGATACAACAAGTCCTGATGAGATCAGGCTTGCAAGTAAGTCGAGTTGTCACCTTCTTTGGTTCTTTTTAAATTTTACTCACCCCTGAAAGTTTTTAATCCAATTATAGTAACTAATATGACTCCTTCAATACATGTTTGCTTTAGAAAGTAGAATTCACCCGCCGTGATTCCACTATTTAGAATTTCATCATATAATATTTCCTAATTTAGAGCAAAATAAATTATTGTTTGCTATTATGAACCACCTTATCTGTGGATAGTTATTGATCTCAGGATGCTTTCAATTTCAAATCCTATCATTGAGGATTTCTTTATTTTTTTGTTAGGACCCATGTTAGTCAGATTGTTTCTTTTTTCTTTTTCTCTTTTCGAAAGAAGAGGCTTTTTGTGCTTGCATTAATTTGTAATTTATTTGTTTTGACTTTTGACAAAACTTGATAAATTAAGAAAATAATAATAAAAACTAACAATATTCTCCTATTAGTTCTTTGCCACAATCTGGTCCTTTTGGCAACATATTTTTCCCTTTTTATTTTGTTTCTCTTTTTAAAGTTCACTGACAACATTTGATCTATGGACAGGAAGTAGCAAGGTTGTTTTTGCTGTTAAGTTGTACCCTGCCGGTGCAACCACAAATTCTCAAGATGGTGTCACAGACCTATTTGGAAAATGTTTGCCTGTCCTTGAGCAGATGGTTGAGCACAACATGCCTTTGCTGGTAATTTTATTATTTTCTCTTAACTTCTTGTCTAAAAGGCTCTGAGGCTTGGGGAAAATTCTTAGTTATTAGTTATTAGTTTTAACATATGTTGGAAGCCAAAGTTTGAAATAGTGACTACATTCTTAGTGTCTCATATGCCTATGATCTATGACATTCTTAATGTCTCATATGCCTATGATCTATGAAGGAATTTCCCAGCATAGCTTAATGTTTTTGGCAAGGGTGTCAATGTCTCCCTGCGATATCCAGAAATGGATCATGTTCTAAATAATATTGATCAGCTTAAAATTTACTTTGCCTTATATGACATATGTGCCCTTTTGGGAACCAAAGATGGCTGTCTTTCGATCAACTTAATGCTAGTGAAGCTAAATGCAGCCCTGCTTACTTTTAGTAGTGCATTTAAAAATTATGTTTGTATTCATTGTTGTTTATTTTCGTATCTCAACCTGGTGACAATTCTTTGTATGATTTGTATGAGGTGGATTATTACTATTTCGATAACAGGTTCATGGGGAGGTTACAGATCCCAGTGTTGATGTTTTCAATCGTGAGAAAGTGTTCATCAACACTGTTTTGCAACCTTTAATCCAAAGGCTTCCAAAGTTAAAAGTTGTGATGGAGCATATCACCACTATGGATGCTGTTAGGTTTGTTGAGTCCTGTGAAGGAGGTATACCTAAATGGTATATTCCCAGAGGAGTTTACCATTTATCTGACATTCTTTTCTTCTATAGGTCTTATCTGTAACCATTTAACTTTCTTCCTTTCGGCCCCTTTAGTCTCACTAGTTCACTTCCTTAGGATTTGTAGCTGCAACTGTTACTCCTCAACATCTTCTGCTAAATAGAAATGCTCTCTTCCAAGGAGGACTGCAACCACACAACTACTGCCTTCCAGTGCTCAAAAGAGAAATCCACAGTATGTTTCTTTTCTTGTCTTCCCTGGAGTTATAGATTTGAATTGTCTCTCAGGTCAAGACTATTGGATTGCATTTTTGCTTTAAATTTTAAGCAACATAGTGTAGCTAAGGATAAGGATTTCAAATGCTTCTTTTCCAAAGAATGTGAACCAAAACAGATGTTAAAGGATTATTTTGCTTTCTAATTGTTGGAATACCTAGAATAAATTGCTCCTTTGAGTAACTCACTAACTCTTGAACCATTGAACATGGGAAGCATCATTCCTAGCTTTGATATGATAGCAAGGGGTATTGTCCATATTTTTCTTTTTCCTTTTTTCTTTTGCCTCAATCTTATACATTATTCTCTTATCTAGGACAGGCTATTGTTTCAGCCGTGACCAGTGGAAGTAAAAGATTTTTCCTTGGAACTGATAGTGCTCCCCATGAGAGACGAAGAAAAGAATGTCCTTGTGGTTGTGCTGGCATTTATAATGCCCCGGTTGCCTTAGCCTTATATGCAAAGGTCTTTGAAGAGGTACCTTTCGTCATTGTCCTATCCTAAGATGTTACTTATGTAAACAGCCTCTTTTCTAAAGAGTTTGTCTGCTTATTTTAGGCGGGTGCACTTGACAAACTAGAGGCATTTACAAGCCTTAATGGTCCAGACTTCCATGGTCTTCCAAGGAACACATCAAAGATTAAATTGAGCAAGACTTCATGGAAAGTTCCAGAGTCTTTCTCATTTTCATTCGGTGATATCATTCCTATGTTTGCAGGTGAAACACTAGAGTGGCAAGCATCCTTCTCGTAACTTGTAAGTCAGTTTTTACGAGCAGATTATAATTTCAAATTGTTTCTGATCATTAATGTGCCTGCGTGGTATGTTTATTGCTGACAGTGTGAACTTGTATTGTTTTCAAACGAGAGTTGAAGCAAACAAACTTTTGTTACTTTTTCAAACAACTTTACATTCGATAATGATATGCAGCTCTGTGCAAATTTTTGGTGGTTTGCTTTATGTTGTGGAATGTCTAATTAACATCACACGTTTTATTAGTTTGTTGGTTTACAATTAGAATTCTAAATCCAAAGCCTAGAAGGCAGACAGAAAGGAGGAAAACAACAATTGAAAAGTCCTATTATGAGACTTATAGTTGCTGGTAGAACGTAACCTGAATAAATTATTAGTATGCTATGTATTCACTAATTCACATGAATAATGAAATAACGCCGGGAAATTAAAATATAATCCTTCAAGTAGTTGTAAAACGTATATGGAAGATATCATAGAGAGGTAAAAGTTTCTCTACATCACAAATACGTATAGCTCCCTAGGGTTTTTTAAAGGTGCAGCATGGGAAGTGGATCTCTTAACTATCAAGGAGTTGAGAGTCTTAAGATCTCAGATTTAAACTTATAAATGGATGGATAGAAATTTTAGAAAAGTGATGGCTATCATTGTATTTTTCCTTTTTTCCTTATTTCCTTATCAGCATGGCTATCATTGAATAACCTACAAGACATAGGATTTATCAGCAGTATGACAAGTTAATCATAATTTGAGACGTCAGAGTATGCATACCGATTCCTATGGGTCCTAGTGAATGAAAAATGTGCTCATTTTATTATTAATTTGTTTATGCGTTAAAATTTCATTAGTTTGTTATGTCACATGGAATATATATATTTATTGCAGCACATCAATATAGAGATTTTACACATATAAAGACATCATTTTTTAAAAGTTTTTTAATTAAATGTATCATTTTTCTATTGAACTAATTAAGGTTATCACCTTAAAAAAAATTTTAAGCAAAGATATCACCTTTTTAATTTTACTATTCAAGGATTAATTGGATGTCAATGTTGACTTAGTAAATGGATTCCGTTTGTGGGATCCACTAAATTGCTGATGTGTCAAAAATTGATAGGTGGCTGCTCTGACTTAAAACTGATTTGGACAACATGCAAAGTGTAAACACCGAAAAGGGTGGTGTAAGCACCCAACCCGTGGTGGAAAATCCTTTTTCCTTTTATATCATTTTAACAAAAATATATATATAAAATTAAAGAAAAATCATAAACTGATAATGAATATATAGATTAGTTAAACACAATAAGGTACATTATATAGATTTATTAAATATAATAACTTTTTTAAAAATTATATCTACCACTTTGAGATTTTGTGTTAAGTAGGAAAAAAATATATTATAATGTATAACCAAATATTTTAGAAAGAGATAAAGATTTAATTTTTGACTAACATACTATAAACCCTGGATAAAAATTGTGCCTCTAGTAATGGACAAAAACTCTTGTTAAAAATTGTGATTTAAGTTTATTGTAGGATGTAACAGCAAACAAACAAAACGTAGAGGAATCTTGATATGGATTACAAGGATTAAATATTTATTGTACTCAAATTAATAATATTATTGTTATTTATAAAAAAATAAAAATAAAATAAATAATATTACCTTGACATTATGAAAATAACAAACAAAAAGATCTTTAGTGATAAGTTATTTTTTAAAGTTGTGTAATTCTCTCAATCGATCATGAAAAATAAAATAAAAATTTGAATTCTTTATAATTTTTTAATGTTTAGATCGATGTGAAAATATTATTATTTTAACTTTCAAAAAGCTATTTTAGAGGGATTTTGTACGCTTCTTCAATCTTTTTAGGATTTGCTTACTAATTTATTTTACCCTAATTTTAATTAATTTTTCCTAAAGAATTCCCAACACGGCTTCAATGCGAACACCACATGTTTCGGTGTCAACATTATTCGTTAAGACTTCTATATTGTCCAAATCAGCTCCATGTCAGGGCAACCATCTATCAATTTTTTTACACATTAGCAATTTAGTGGGTTCCACGGATGAAATCTGTTTGCCAAGTCAACATTGACATCCAATTAATTATTGAATAGTAAAATTAAAAAAGTGATATCTTTAATTAGATACTTTTGAAAGATGATAATATTGATTAGTTCAATAAAAAAAATTTATCTTTAATTAAAAAATTTTAAAAAGTAATGTCCTTATATGTGTAAAATCTTCATCAATTTATGCATAAGAAAACCTTAAGCTTATAATGTTATGTAAAATTGTAAACTTACAATCATGAATGTCATTGTATGATCTACTTTTTTTATTCAAGAAACCTTATGTAATACTGTATGCATCTACTTGTTTAATACCATATTATCATTATATGATGTTATAAGTATAAATTTAGATGGATAGTTTCGATTGCTCAATTTTTTTTTCCACTGGTCAGTGATAAATTCAGCACTATCATGGGAATACTTTTAGTCAATAGGAAATCATAAGCTATATTTATTTCATGTAACTTGGTCTAACATCAGAAGTACAAGTTCAATTTCAGAGAAAAAAAGAAGAAGAAGAAGAAGAAGAAGAAGTAAATAGAGTATCAAACGAATTAGAATGTTCGAGCAATCAAATCAAACTTATGTAGACTTATTTATGGAACCAGCTGATGGGAATTAGATTCTACGACCAACGAACTTGTCTTTAATTGCGCGCAATTCTGCAATGGCTTCTTTCATCTCCATTCTTTCATTTGGTGATGCCATTGAGTAGAGGACTCCTACCCTTGCCACTGCAACCAAGCTCTCCAAAATACAAATTTTCGTTCCTCGATTCCTTGCTCCCGAATGTGTGTCATCTTGGACCTCCTGCAGTAGTGAAGGTTCTAAAATATCCATCACCCTGTCAGGTAGTGCTGTTTTAATGAAATGGTGTGGCGAAATTGTCCTAAAATAATGAATTTGTTGGTCGTTTTCCTATAATCATCTCCAACAAGAGAATTCCAAAGCTGTATACATCTCCATGTTTGGATTTCCTGTTGCTCAAGCCATATCCTGCGTTAGGAAGGAAAAGTTGTGTGATATCGTTGATTTATTATGTTAACTATAAATGCTAGCGCAAAGAAAAAATTGAAAAGATTGAAAGAAACAAAGATAATTAAAACAATTACCTAGGGCTAGGTAGCCAATTGTTCCTTTTACACCAATGGAACTACTTTGTTGATGAGGAATGGATAGAATATATCCAACTTTGGAATTCTACGAAGCTCTAGAATATCCAACTTTGGAACTCTACCTCGCTCTACCCGAATGCTTTCATGTAGACCTAGCAAACAAGTCAGATTGGATGGGTTCAGATTGGGTCATCTCGAATCTTCGGTTTTTTAGATTGGGTCATTTCAGATGTTGGGTTAAAGGGGTAAGTCCATGATCCACCCACATAAGTCTCGGATTGGATAGGGTGGATCCAACTTCTAAAAAGTTAAAATTAAAATTAAAAATTTTCTATACTTTTTTTTATTTTTCTTTAACAAAATCTAATACTAATTAACTATTTAGTTAAAAAATTCTATTAAACGCTAATTTTTATGATTCAATTTTTATTTCAGTCTCAAGAAAAGAAAATGGAAAAATGACTGATTATATAGGTGGAACAAAAATATATGTTAAATATATAATACTTATATAATATTTAGAATTCATAATTTCATAAAGAAACTTACTTTCATAAAGACACTTATATTCATTAAAAGAAGAGACATGAAATATTAGAGTTCAAAAGACAAAACTAATACATATGTTAATATCTAGTGTCTATTCAATATTTATAAGGGTATTATAAAAAAAAAATACAGTTCTGTTCAATATTTGGAAGAACATTATATAAAAAATATAACTTTATTCAATATTTAAGTTCAAAAGGCAAATTCAAAATTTGTCTAAACAAATATAAGAAAAAATTGAATTGTGATTGATTTTTATTAATTAGGAACAAATTATTAATTAAGAACAAATTAACAATTAAGTACAAACCTTAATGTTCTTGTTTTTGTGCTTCTAATGGTGATGAGGGTACCTCAACCATTGGGTTTTGATTTTCAATAGACATTCTTGCTTTCTACTTAAAAAAGAAAAATCTTTTTGACAATACCATATGACACAGCTCATTATGTAATTAATCTGATTTTTTACGCAAGTGCCATCAAAGAAAAGGATTAAAGAGCTTGAGATGAAGAAGGGGAGAGCGAAAGTGGAGAAGAGGAAAATGTTGAGAGAGTGAAACTGACGGGAGGTTAAGGTTTGGATATTTTATTTATTTTTATTTTTAGGATTAGGAATTAGAAATTAAAAATTAATTTTTAAATAATCTAATAATAAATAAATAAATAAAAGTTTGGGTCATTTCAAGTGTGACTCGACCCACCCGTGACCCAACCCATTTGGGTTTGAGTAATTTCAGTTCAGGTCATTTTGGATTAATATATCAGACCCATCACCCGACTCATAATGGATAGGTTAGATTGGATTTTTGGATTGGGTCCAATTTTGCTAGGTCTACTTCCATGTATATTATTTCTTTTCAAAACCAATATGTCAAGTGAAGATGCATTCGCCAACCATTGTGGGATACTTCCAATTAATTGATTCCTAGAGAAGTGGATAATGCGTACACTTTTTGAAAGATTTTGAAGCGCAACAGGAATTTCACCAGTAAAGCCATTCTCGCTGAAATAGACATCTTGTAATCTTGAGCAAAATGCCAAATCGCTTGGAATTTTGCCTTGAAGGTCATTAGAATTGAGATTGAGAATCCTCAACCGGGACAAATGACCAATCTCTTGAGGAATCCTTTTGAAGTAGTTGTGACCGAGGTTGATTTGCCTTAGGAATGATAGGTTTCCAATGTGGGGTGATATCAAACTGATGAACTAAAATTATATACATATTAATGTGGAATTGTGACCTTGATATTATTAATATTTGGATGAGTTTTATGAGATTTTATTGAGTTTTATGAGATTTTACATGATTTTCATTCTTTGTGTAGAAAAAGACTTGAATGCATAAAATAAGAGTTTTGGGATTAATTGGACATCTTCTCAAAGTTGAGGGACTGA